CGAAAAATATAAAATGGAGGGTGGTGCTAAGCGTCGCACGCAAAACGACAAAGCAATCGATATCATGCGGTTGCTCAACTTTTGTTTTTTGTAATTGCTTTGATTGATGGCCTGTTTATAACGTAGAAACATGGCGTGGCGGAGGGGGGATTGCGGTTTTTCCAATTTGATACACAACGTTAATTCATGAGCGGTTAAAAGTTTATGCGATCGTTTGAATAGCTTAGTAGATTTTTATTCAATGGTTTCCCAATTTTCATAATGCGAACGACGAATTATAAATCACTATGTACTAATAATTGAAATGAATATCAATACGCACAATGTGCTGAAGTACATATATCCTTCTCCAATTGTTGTGGAAATAACAGAATTTACAAGACTTAGAAAAGTTTTTCACAAGATTAAGAAAAAATCATTAAGGCTTTGGTAAAACATTAAAAGGTGTGTTGAATCTTCGGAAAATCTACAATAAAAAAATATTCCAGGAAGTCTCGAACAGTTGATAGGAAAATCTTAACTATTCATTAATTTTGGAAGACTAAAAAATTCTAGAAAAAATTCTTAAAACAATATTTCTTGAACCTTTAAAAATGTTCAAGAAAACTGCAAAGAAAGATTCGAGAGCCTTGTGAAATGCTTTTTTTGCCTTTTATTAGACAAATTTTCTGAAACATTAAAGAAATCTTCCAGTAAGTTTTCTAACACGACCGCGAGAATATTTTTAAAAGCGTTAGGCTTTTAAAAAGATATTGAAAAAAAATAAAATGCAAAGAAATCCTCGACGATCTCAAGAAATTACTGAAATTCCGACGCAATGTAATCATTCGGAAGGATTCTCGTGCAGAATTGAAAACGTAAAACAATGAAAACGAAGCGAGGGAATTAGCGGTAGCGAGACGTCTAAATTTGTATTGCCCGCGCTTCGACATTGGAGTAGAGTGCCTCGAGTCGAGTTGACGTGAGTAGGGGGCTTGGGGTTTGCGCTGTACTATGCGCCGACATGAAAACACGATCTCTCTCTCTCTCTCTCTCTCTTTCTCTGTCTCTCTCTCGCATCGCGCGCGCTTGGCGCCTGTCGACCGACGAACACGTAACGTGCCGACTTGTGCCAACTCCCCGCCCGGAATTATTGTTACACTTTTTCCTCGATGGCCGTGTGTTTCTTTTCTGCGCAACCTCGCGCTTTATCGCATCGAATCGAGTGATATACTCCATCAGCCTCGCGCAAAATAAACCTAACGAATGAATACGTCGGTCGAAGAAGTGCGGGGGGAGGGGGGAGGAGAACGGTGTATTATCACGGAACATGAAAATCATGCCGAGAAAGGAGGAGCCACATCCCACGATAGAATCGATTGCACAGCTCGCCTCTGGGCGCTCACTCTCTCAATACGCGAGAGAGAATGGGGGGGGGGGGGGGCAGAGAGGAGAGAAGAGAATATTCCCATCGGAGATTTGAAATTTGCTAGGCATCTGTGCATGCGCGCAGCGCGCCCTACAGCGGTCGCGTTTTAACGTTTAATGAGCGCGAAACGAGGTGAGCGCCTCCCCCCTTCCTTTCCGTGAGCATAAATAATTAACGCCGGGCGATGGAGTCGTCGTCGTCGCCGCGATGACGATACCCGTCGCCCGGCGATCCTAGACTACGTAGCCGCTTGAGCTGTACCGCAGGTGCCCGGCATCCCCAGGCCGCTAACGTGCCGCGTGACGCATCGACATTTCGACCGCTCTTTCCTGCCCGGATTAGTCATTGCAGTTTTGTGTAGAGAAGAAAAAGCAATCGAAGAAAAGGCCAAAGCTGCGATTACGTGCAAGCGGGCACGTTCAGCGCGCGTACAACTGGTCTTATCTCAGCGTGTATAACGCTCGACAGCGAAAATCGGTTGACCGTGCTCAGAGAAGTAATACGCGCCGCAGACAGAGAGAGAGAGAGAGAGAGAGAGAGATTGTAAAATGGCGGCCTAGCCGTTCATCCCCTCGAAAGCGAACGTTCTCGGGCTTTGTTTTCTTTTTGCCCTCGCATCCTTCTCTCTCTCTCTCTCTCTCTTAGGCCGCACGCGAAAATCCATTGCGTCTGCGCCGCATTGCTACTGCCGCCGCGACTTTACCTACATCGAGCCCCTCAACGGGGTGAACAGCGGCGGCTGCAGGCGAAAGCAAACGCGCTGTGGATTATACACACCGTGTCGTCTCGATTTTCCATCTCTCTCTTGCGCGCGCGTTCCGGCTAATGTTCGCGCTACGCAGCGCCATTTTTAGAAGCCGAGTGACGGCGCGTCCCGTTTGGTTATTTAGCTGGCGATCTCGTGGACGCGATGCGCCGCCGTCCGCGCGCTCCGAGCTAACGGCACGAGGCACCCGCGCATTTGTTCGCACAGCGGAGGTATAAGGAGGCAGACGAGATCCGTCGGCAACATTATAGCCATGACACTCGTATACAAGCGCGAGAAGCTCTTGGCACGCACTTGGCGTTGCACGTAGCTGACTAATACGTGTCTCTCTCTCTCTCTCTTTCTATCTCGAAGGCAACACACGAGGCGGTGGCGGCGGCGGGTGAACGCTGGTCGCTGAACTTTCTAAAGAAATCTCAACTACTCCGCGAGTTTGCTGCTGCTGTTTGCCTGCCTGCTTGCCTCTCTCTCTCTCTCTCTCTCTCTCTCTCTCTCTATCTCTCTTGAGAAGTGTGGGCATGAAAATTACACGCTCCGCGTAAGATGGCGCGGCCTCGTTTCTTTTCTCGTTTTCACGTCGTCGTCACTCCCCCGCGCGCTCGGAAGGGCCGATCGATTTTCGGAGGACGAGCACGCTCGTGTTGGAGAGTGAGAGAGAGAGAGAGAGAGAGAGAGAGAGAGAGAGAGAGAGAGAGAGAGAGAGAAAGCCGTGCTTCTCGTTAGTCCGCGCGCTGCGTTCTCGCGTGACTGATGCTCGCTCTCTCTCTCTCTCTCTCTCCGAGAACGAGCGGCAACGGTGGCGGCTCTGAAAATTCACACGATTATCGACGTGGCAGCAACGCGGAATCCAGCACTCCACCACTACCGGCCACGAGCTCGGAGAGCGAGACGTTCTATGTGCACGCGCGTATGCGTGTTACGTGTGTGTGTGTGTGTGTATGCACGTACGGTCGCCTTTTAGATGGCTGCTCTGTGCGCTCTCTCTCTCTCTCTCTCTCTCTCTCTGCACTCGAAATCGATAGCGCGAGGACCGCTCGCTCTGTAGCTACGCCGACTTTCCGAACGGACTACTCTCTGCCGCGGCTTCGTGCAGTTTCGTGCGTCGCGGCGTGGAATTCGCCCGGAATTTCCGGAATCGGACGCCGGCGAAAAGTATTGCAAACGAGCTGAAGCGCTTCCTCGCCAGGCCCTGCGCGGCTCCGCGATTCCAGAGCAGTGCGGCAACTTGTCGACGGAAAAGTTAGAGGGAGGAGGGTGGTCGAAAGCCGCGAGAGACAAAGAGATGAAGCAGCAGCGCGGAGAGAGAGAGAGAGAGAGAGAGAGAGAGAGAGAGAGAGAGAGAGAGAGAGAGAGAGAGAGAGTCCGGAAATCGATATTCCCCGGCGCGCGGCGGCTAGTCTCAGGCTCTCCGGCACGGTGGCTGCGTGTGCGGCTGCCGCGGTGGCGGCTGCATTATGCAAAACTTTCGGCCTCCCCGCGAAAGACGCCCGGCAAGAACGAGCCTAACTCTTGTTAGCCACTCGGCTCTTTTCGCAAGAGCGGGAGAGAGAAAGGCGGTGATTTGGCGCTTCGCGTTTCCCCTTCGAGATGCTGCCAGGTGTGGACATTTCGGGAAAGTTGCCGGCTTCCCCTTCCGACAGGCCCGCGACGACTGTGGAAAATTGCCGAGTGCGCGCTCTCCACGCTCGTTGCGCGGCTCGCTCTTGCCTTTCTAAAGGAATCACCATTGTCGCGAGAGCGAAGCAACGTGATATTCTCGGGGAGGCGCGACGCCGAGAATTCAAAGCTTTCAGCGTCTAATAGTCTCGTCGAGGATCGCGCGCTCTCGCGAAAAGCAAAAGGCTCGCCCGTTCAATCCAATACGCCAAGTCAGCAGCGTGTGCCGCGGCGAGATATAATATGGCGGAGAGCGAGAATGAGAGAAAGTTCACCCCCGCCGAGCATCGATACAGCGCGAGCGCACGCATTTTCCGCCCTTTCGCTCGGCTCGCTCTAATAGCCGAAGGGACGACCGACGGGCTATAGACGCCACAGAGTCACGTCGTTTGCTTGCGCTTTCTCTCTTGCTCGCTCGCTCTCTATCGATTCGCACGGACGCCGCGCAAAGATGTTGGCCTGCCAACCAAGTCGCACCGCAGGCGCGCCTCGCGGTAGAAGCTACGCTGGTCGTCCCAAGCTGCACACCGCCTGTGGCCGACCATCGCGCCCTGCGCTCGCTTTCTATAACGCTCGGGCGTTGCGGAACATCGTCGTTGTCGTCGTCGATCACGCGGCAACGCGCGTCGCCGAGCAGATTCGAAACCGGGCAAGATCGCGAGGATGAGTCAGGAAATGCCAACGAGCCGCCGCCGCCGTCACCAAACGCTGATTTCGCTCGCGAGGAATGAATGTAAAAAAACGAAAAAACAAAAAAAAAAAAAATAAAACTTGTCGACATGGCAAGCGATACACACGCGATACGGCAAACGAGCCAGTCGACGAGTTATATATCGCCGCCTGTCGACTTGTCCTTACACTGAGAGAGAGAGAGGGAGAGAGCAAGTGAGAGTCTAGGCACAGTACATAATCAATAAAGCGCATCGCGATGAGGAGGCCACACCACACCACCACACGCTCGCTCGACAATGGCCATTGCAGATGTCGCGTTTCATCGCACACACGCGCTCGTCGTGGATCAGGTTGTCTACTTTACGCGGGGGGGCGAGGAGGAGGGAGGTGTCAGGCAAGCAGGCCGGCTCGACGCTTGGTCGTCCTTCGGCAGGCCGACTCTCGAGAGCAAGCACAGACACAAGCCGCTACTGTCTTGTATAGAAAGTTTGAGTCTACCTGAGAGAGCAGCGCGTGCGACGACGAGGAGTTGCGTTGTTGTTGCTGGAGGTGGTGGTGGTGTTTGTGGTGTTGTTGGAGGTTATGGTGGTCGCGCTGGCGCGACCAGTCGATGCCAAGGGCAGTCGGCTGTCCGCACCGCGCGCTCGGCGTCGTCGGCGGCAAGGACGTGGTCGTCGTCGGCGGCGGAGGCGGCGCCACTTGCTGCTGCTGCTGCTGCTGTTGATTGACTACTGCCGCTGCTCCGCCGACTTGCGCTAAGCCAGCTGATGCGCTCTTTGTGCTCAGCGGAACAGCGCTCTGACCACCCTAGAAACACCAACCAACCAACCGACACTCAGTTCCTCCCTTTTCCACGCTCTCTCGTTGACGCTCGCGAAAACTCGTGGCGCGCTCGCTGCCGTTTTCCTTCGCCAGCCTCCCCGCGCCTTCTTCGCTGATTCGTCGGATTGGCAAAGTGGGCGAGTGAGAGAGAGAGAGAGAGAGAGACTCGCACGGGAGACGGAAGGTCGTCTGTAATAGCGGACCGTGCCAACCGTTTGCAGAGTTTTCGCACGGCAGCAGCTTGACCTGCGAGAGCAGCAGTAGCAGTAGCAAACATGGCGGAGAATCAGGTTATGCGACGCTCGACCTCGCGTCTCTCGGTGAAAAATCAAAGCTAAACGAGATGTCGCCGGCCGCCGCGCGCGCGCACATACACGTACACGCGCGCGCACACACACCGGACAAAGAGAGCGAGCGAGAGAACGAAAAAAAGGCTTAGTCCGCTGGTGCTACTGCTGCTGTGCTGCGCGACGAAGACCACGGCAACACTGCGCTTTTTTTTTGCGCAGAAAAACAACCGTGATGTGCGCTTTTTGCAGGCGCGCGTGGAACGAGCGCTTATTAATCGTCCAAGAGAGAGAGAGAGAGAGAGAGAGAAATTGGGAGTGTCAACAGGTCCGACCGCGGCGCTCCTCCATCTTGATGTGATTGCCTGCTTTCGGGAGCGATCCTTCTCTCTCTCTCTCTCTCTCTCTCTCTCTCTCTTTCGAGGACTTTTTCCAAACCGGGCGAGAATCCGTCTGCGCGTGCCAACTGCGTTGGAGCGAGAGCGATCGCCCGGTCGACAATGAGATTCGGGTGCGAGAGCTGGGAAAAGGGCCGACGGTATCTAGAGCGTCGAGGCTGCGAGAGACGACGGAGCGTGCACGCTTGTCGTCCGCGCTGACTGTACGGGATCAATACACCGACGATAAGGGCACAGCGAGAGCGCCGGTGGCGGGCGGGCGGTTTGTCCATACGCCGCCCCCGCCCCTTCGCTAGCGCCGAACGCGGCGAGAACGCGATCGGAGCGCAGGTATATAAGTGAAATTCTATTTATACCACGGCAGCCGTGAGGGGGGGGGGGGGCGAGAGAGAGAGAGAAAGGGACGGAGCCTCTTACGAGCTCTATAATGTTATCGATCACGGGCCAATTCATTCGCGCCATCTTAAAGCCAGCCACGCAAGCTGAGACTGCGAACGCCGACTTCTCTTGCCGCCCGGCAGTCCGGCGATTCGTAAACATCGCCGCTTCGCCGTCGATTTTTTCGCTCGTGCGGCGCGTCGTACTCTCTCTCTCTCTCTCTCTCTCACCGCGTAGCGCGGAGCTATCCGCAAAATACTCTAGCTCGTCTATCGTTGTATCTACGCAGGAGAGTTATCTAGTAACCACAGCCATCAATAGTAACGCAAGCGTGCGATTCGTCCGCAAACGGAGAGAGAGAGAGAGGCTGTCGGGTATTCCGTAAAGCCGACAGTACAAGAGCACCGAAAAGCCATCCATCTATTAATACGCGTATAGCAGCAGCAGCAGCAGGAGCAGCAGCAGAGCAGCAACAGCAGCAGCAGTAGCAGTAGCAGCGGCACAAAGGGCGACTAGAGCGAGAAAGAAAAACTTTCCATGCGCTCTCTGCGCCCGTGAGCTGCCCCAACGAGAGAGATGCGAGCATCGAGTCACGCCGGCGCACCTGGCGCTCTTTAAAGGAAGAGAGAGAGAGAGAGAGAGAGAGAGAAAGACAGAACCTCGAGGGTCTGTCAACGGAGGGGGACGTACCGAGGCTCTCCTGCGTCGTCTGCGCTCGCTACTCGGCACTACAACACTGCTGCTGGTGTTGTTGTTGTTGTTGTTGTTGTTGTTGTTGGGTAAAGCAAGCACAGCGCTCGGCGTGTTGACTGCTGGCGGCGAGGGCGACGCCGCGCCGGCATTAGCAGCAGCGGTGACCTGCAGTACCTTGGACCTCCGCCTTATCGCCATGCCGCTTTCATCGTCCTCTCGCCTCCGTCGTCATCGTCGTCATCGTCATTGTCGTCATCATCATCATCGTCGCCGTCGTCGTCGTCGTCGTCGTCGTCGTCGCGGTCTCGCGCTGCTGCTCGCTGCACGACGCCGTCGCCAGCGCATCGCGCGCGCACCTCGTCGACATCGCCGCCGCTGCTCTCGCCTCCTCGCGCGACACTTGCCCGCACCACTAGCACATCCGCGAGCTCGCACGCGTCTGCTTCGCCGTCTGTTAGTTTTCTTTCTCGGTCTTTCGCTCTCTGTCCCGACGCACACTCCGAAGCGCGCGCGCACCACGCAAAGGCTCGGCGAGCACTGGAAAATTTTCGCCGCGCTTACTCGCCGAGCCCGCGACAGAGAGCGAGAAAGAGACAGAAAGAGAGAGAGAGAGAGAGAACGGATGGCGCCGGTGGTGGTGGCAGTAGCGCGGTCGGCCGGGCGTGCGCGCATCGCGGAGAGGCGCTCACTCGCTACGTGCGTGCGCGGCCTCGGCTACGTTGGCGCAAGGGGGATGGCCCGAGGGTGATGCACGGCATTTGGCCGTCGCGCGGCATCGTCGCTTCCTGGCGTGGGAGCTTGTTTATCGATCGACAAGTCGAACGATTGGCGTTGTTTTGATCTCGCGGCGACGTGTCAAGCCCTCGATCGCCTCTCGATCGGACGAGCCGTTGTCGGCCGGATAAGCATCGTGTAATCGGTGACTCGCGCGAGCGGTCCGCACGATTCTTCGCCGGGATTATCTTGACGCCTTGAATTCCAAGCTGTCGCACGGAAAAACCAATTTTTTCACACAGCTCTCCCTCTGGATGTCCGCGTCGGCGGCCAACATTTTACATCGAGAGACAGATACAGAGCTCTTCGTTGCCCGAATTTCGAGTGCAACAACAAAGCCAATCGGCGAACGAACTCCGGAAAGATAGAAAGAGAAAGAGCGAGAGCGAGTGAGAGGGCGATTTGGGGGGGGGGGGGGTCGCACGCCATTTTCGTGGCGCGCGGGTGTGAAAGCGTCCAAAGCAACCGCTCTCGCGTCTGGTTAGTAGTCTCCCGCAGCCATCATGCCGCCGCTCGCCGGCTCGGAAACTACCGGTGCACCGGCGGCGGCGCAATTAAGCGGCCAAGTGCCTCTCGCGCGATCGACGCGTTCGCAAAGCCATCCGCCGCGGCCTCGCCGCCGACAGGATCAATTTCTAGCCGCGCCAGATCCCTTCGTTGCCGACTTTCGAAGGGGCCCCGAGGGGAAGGCGCTCGGGCCAAAATTGACCTGGCAGCACTTCACCTGTTGCGCTGCGCGCCGGCGAACGCGCGCCGATCGCCTTCCCCCAAGGTGGCTTGGCGTGACGACGCCGCGTCGCTTACGACAGGCTCCTTGGAGCGTCGCATGCTCTTCTCGTCGAAGCGTCCAACGCTATATTAGCGACGGACGCAGGCATGCTTGGACGCCGAATAAGCGTCGCCAGTGCGCTCGCTGCGAGTCGTTTACTCTCTCTCTCTCTCTCTCTATTATTCCGGCTACATTTAGTCTTCTCCTATCTTGTCACTGCTAGTTTCGTTTTTGTGACTGAGGAAAGTTTTTTTGTAGAACTAATTAACTAACTTTTGTTACTTGAAAATGTCCAAACTGTGCTACGCTTGAGTTAGTATAATTTTTGTTATCACGAATATGTTGCGTATTTACGTATTCTGCAGATGTTATTATTTTGACCTACGGTAAATAAACGTTATCTATAAATTTGCCTCTCTCTCTCCCTCGAAGCAGAGATTCCCATTCATCCTGCTACTCTCGCGGCCGATATCGCCCGACGCGCCAGCTCCAACTTCTTTTTTATCGACCGCAAGGGAGAACTTGGCGCGCGCCGGCGCCGACTTGCCGTTCAAGGGGGTTAATTGCGCAAGTGACGCGTTGCGCAAGAGGCGCTGCGAGTGACAGTCGTCGAACAATGCCCCCCCGCGAAATTTGAGAAAGCCGTGCCCATCTCCCCGCCCCCTCCGCCCTTGCCGGCAGGTGAGGCGACAATCGCCTCTCGTTAATCAGTGCGCATCGATCGGACCTTTTCGAAGAGAACCCGCGTTACGCAAACGACGATCGACTCGACTATAACGCCTTGACTTTGGGTAAATTTAGAGGCGCCGTTCTCGGGCTCGAAGCGAACTATCGATGCTTTCTCTATTCGCGAACACCCCGTCGACGAGGAGTGAATGCCATGCAAAATTGAGGATCGCCAACGGGCATTGAGCTCGATTCGCTCGCCGCGATCGTTAAAAATGGTGCCGACGCGGAAACTCGTAGCGACCGGCCGTCTTCTTTTTTCCGCGCGCGCGGGAAGAAAGTGCCGCGGCGCGGGCATCGGCAGATGGAGCTGAATCCGCGGGGAATTCCATCTCGCGTCGATCGAACGGCGTCGCTCGCGAGCAGTACTTTCGATTTTACTGTTTTGCCGTACCCCGCAGCGAAAAACAAAAGCCGTCGCGATTTCGCTCCCAAATTGAGCACAACGTAACGCGAGCTGAAAATCGGGAGGATCCCTTCGCTGGAGCAGGCATCGCGCGTTGTCGAGCGCCGCAACGGGGCACGCGGACGTGGGAGCGCGTTAACAGCTGACACAAGCGTCAACGCACGCGCGGAATGTACTTTTGTCGCGGTGCGTGGTTCGCGCGAGCCGCTTATCGGATTTCCCGTCTCCGACTCGCGCCTAAAATTGCGGGCGCGCGCGCGCGCGCGAAATAGAACGCGGCGCTCTCGCCTCGCCGCCGTCGCCGCGGTACGTTCCGCGTTGGGAGCGCGCACGGCCTGTTGCCCGCGAGATAAGAGGCGCGACGCGCTGACGACGTTAACCTTACCTCCCTGCTCTCGGTCGTACGCTTGTTCCCGAGCGATCTCAATCGCCTTGCGACAGTCTCTCGACTCGCAGCTTTTCGGCTCGGATGGTGTTACGTCAGTCGGACGATGGGCAGGGCAGCAGGGGGGGGGGGGGGACAAATGCTACTGCAGCCGAACGAAACTTGTGATTTTCGAAATACACGACGGCGACTTTCTAATAGTCTTGCTCGCTAGCACGTGAAGCCGCGGCTCGTCGATATACATTTGGAGGGCTCAGCTCGACGAAAACTGCTTCTCTCTTTCGAAATATCGCGCAACGCATATTTCTCTAATATTGAAAATCTACTGTTGTGACGACGATTTGCCCGTGCAAGAGAGAGCCATAAAGAAAGAGAGGGAGAGAGAGAGAGAGAACGCACAAAAACGGTTCCGCGCTAATTGTCGGCATATTTACACACACGCACGCGTACCGAGCGCGCAGATCCCGCGAGAATTTCGTACTTTCTAAACGCGCATTTTCAGCGTCCCGCAAATAGCCACGCGGCCATTCTTTTGTGCATATTTATCGTCGATGCGCTCAATTATCGCGCAATGAGACGGCGACGATTTGTTTTTGACGGCAGAGAGGACGAGTGACGCCATTCAGCGAGCCGATCTCGGACTGTCGTTCGTCGGGTCGAGCTGTTCGATTCGCGTGTAAACGGGAGCAGGACGACGGTGCGTGCCTCGATGCCGCTCGTTTCGACGCGGAAGAGCCAGCGGTCCAAGCCAGCAGAGCCGCCCTCGTGCGAGGCAACACCGCAACAAGGAGGAGTGGTTTTCGTCTGGCCATTCACGGTCACCACCCGCGCTCCGCCGGCGTCGTCGTCGGCGGCCCACTTTTCCAACAGGCGCATGCACGCGCGCGCGCGCACACTCACACACACACGGCCAAATCCTCTTTTCCAGTATCGCTTCTGGCCGTGCGCCGCAAGCGGAGAATTGGCAACGCCGCTGAACAAGGCACAGGGGAATCCGCTCGCGCGTACGTGCGATCTTCTGCCAGCTGGCGACGCGGCGTGGACGCCGAGCTACGCAGGTGATCGGGCAGCGCGGGCCAAATCGCGCTGACTCGGAGAGGAGAGACCGATCGACGCGCGAGTCGGCTCCGACGTTCCCCATCGCCGGCGAGACGGACAATCCGAAAGCTATGAATAGCGCGGCCAGGGCTTGGATGATATCGCTGCCATGGCGACGAGGGGGAGGGGGCGGGGAGGAAGGTCGCTCGCGTCGGCCACGTACGTCGGCTTTTCTCCGTCGCCGGGCGCCTCCGCGTAGATGTGCTTCTCTCTGCTTAGCCGACTTTCCGCCAGCTGCACGCGGACTGGCGATCGATAATATTAGGGAGGGTCGCCTCCGCCGAATCGAAGGCGCGCGCCCCGCTGGCCGAATCGATCGCTGCCTCCGCGAGCACAGGGGCCGACTTTCGGCGGCCCGGCGCGCTTTCGTCTCGGCGCCAAGAGGCCGGAGCTGCCACGCAAGCTCGGCATTCGGCGATCGACGCCACGAGAGCACAGCGACTTCGCCTTGATTGCTCTAAGACGCAGTTGGCGTGGCAGAGATAGCTGAGAAAGAGAGAGAGAGAGAGAGGAGAGAGAGAGAGAGAGAGAGAGAGAGAGAGAGAGAGAGAGAGAGAGAGAGAGTGAGAGCGAGCTCATAGTTCGCGACGTCGGCGACCTTGACTCGCGTGTGCGCGCGAGATTAGCCGACGCCGGTCGATCGATCGCGCGTGCGAATCCACGTCGCCGCGTCGCAAGCTTCTCAGGTTAGCGAAACAGCAAGCGAAAGACAACGGTTGAGGACGGAGACGAGAGAGGAGAGAGAGAGAGAGAGAAGAGAGAGAGAGAGAGAGAGAGAGAGAGAGAGAGAGAGAGAGAGAGAGAGAGAGAGAGAGAGAGAGAGAGAAAGCCGCAGGGAGAGCTTGGCAAAGATGGCCGGGCGCGAGCGAGGACGGGATCGCGTGTCTCGGCTTGACACCGCTGTCGCCATCGTACGCATATCCTCGTAGCCGGCGACTCGCGACGCGCGCCCGAAACAGCTGATCTGCCGCGGGGAGCAGAGCCCATCAGCGGTCGCCGAGCGCCAGGCTACGAGGGAGAAGAGACGATGACGCCCGCCGTTCGTCGAAGCGTAATCGCGACTCGCAAGCTCGAGCGGGTCGCGAGAGATGCGTCGCCGATTGATTTTCGGCCGAGCGGCAAGACCATTATCTTATGGGTTGCGGCCGGCGGAGAGGCGGGACGCGAGATCGTCGCCGAGCTGCAAGGGCTCTATACGACGGCCACACGGCCGATCGATGAGCTAGCCCCGGCGAGCCAGAATCGCACCTCGAGCTCGCCTACGCGCGGACACGCGAAAACTCACGGGACAGCTGCACGCGTAGCCGGCAAAAATGGCGAGCGCGCCGATTCACGAGAATACCTCCTCTCTCTCTCTCTCTCCTCTCTCTCTCTCTCTCTCTCTCTCTCTCTCTCTCTCTCTCTCTCTCTCTCTCTCCTCTCTCTCTCTCTCTCTCTCTCTCTCTCTCTCTCCTCTGCCTCACTCGCCGCCGCCGCGCCTCCCTCTCTCCCGCTGTGCGTGGGTTCGGGCCGCCGCAGCCGAGGTGCTGCTGTCGGTACGAGACTCGCGAAGCGATGCCCCTCCGCGAGCGCGGACGTCGGCGGAGAAACAAGAAAAAGGAACGGAAGCGCAGGAGCCGCCTCGACCTCCGCGAGCAGCCTGATCATCGCCCGAGCTTGCGGGCCGAGATCGGGCCCGCGCGGTCCCGCGCAACAGATAGCAAGGAAAAAAATAGACACCTACCCTTGCACCGAGAAAGCGAGCCTCCAACAACTCCTGCTTCCTGGGGTCCAGGGTGGCCTGAAACTGCTCCATCTTGACGCCAGCGCCTGCGAACATTCAAAAACGCCACATTGATTGGTCGTCGCCTTAAGCTGGCTCTCGGGGACCGAT